CAGGTGATCCACAAGCCTTGGCCTCCCAAAGTGCTCGGATTTTTTTTTTTTCCCAATTCCTTAATTTAATTTTATTGTAAGTTCTGGTGTACATGTGCAGGATATGCAGGTTTGCTACATAGGTAAATATGCACCAGGGTGGTTTGCTGCACCTACCAACGCATCACCTAGGTATTAAGTCTGGCATGCATTAGCTATTCTTCCCAACACTCTCCCAGCCCCTGCCCCACCCTCTCCTTTTTTTTTTTTTTTTTTTTTTTTTGTTTAAGAAACAAAGTCTCGCCGGGCGCGGTGGCTCAAGCCTGTAATCCCAGCACTTTGGGAGGCCGAGGCGGGTGGATCACAAGGTCGAGAGATCGAGACCATCCTGGTCAACGTGGTGAAACCCCGTCTCTACTAAAAATACAAAAAAATTAGCTGGGCATAGTGGCGCGTGCCTGTAATCCCAGCTACTCAGGAGGCTGAGGCAGGAGAATTGCTTGAACCCAGGAGGCGGAGGTTGCGGTGAGCCGAGATCGTGCTATTGCACTCCAGCCTGGGTAACAAGAGCGAAACTCCGTCTCAAAAAAAAAAAAAAGAAACAAAGTCTCATTCTGTCACCCAGGATGGAGTACATGGAGTACAATGGTGCAACCATAGCTCACTGCAGCCTCGAACTCCAGGGCTCAAGCAATCCTTAAGCCTCAGCTTTGCAAGTAGCTGGGACTTTATAGGCGCTTGCCGCCGTGCCCAAATAATTTTTAAAACTTTTTTGTAGTAACAGAGTCGTACTACATTGCCCAGGCTGGTCTTGAACTCCTGGCCTCAAGTGATTCTCCCATCTAGGCATCCGAAAGTGGTGGGATTACAGGCATGTGCCACTGCACCCGGCCACAAGCTCAGTCTTGAATGACAGGTAGAATTTGGAGACGCAGACAGTGGGAAGGAGGCAAGTATCAGTATCAGAGAGAACTGAAGAGCTCACAGTTCTGCCACGGCAGTACCTCCCTGCCCAAACTGTTAGTTGCATCCCAAGAACACTGCAAGTGAGAGGAAGGGCTACCCTGAACAGATGGAATCTTTTTTTTCTTCCCCTCCTCAGGTTAGGCTAGTAATTAACGTGCAAGAGTGTCACATCTCACATATGCGCATGAACACCCAATCATTACACTCATGAACTACAAAAGGATCAGCAGATAGAATATTAAAAAATGGAAGAACCTCCCTACCTGTGCCGACATGGGAGGTGGAGCGGCTTTGTCCCCATCTTCCCCTCTCAAAACGGGCCGATTCAGCACGATGCCAGTCTGCAAAAGAGAAAGGCCTCTAAGTCAGTGCAAAATTAGCTGTTAACCTAAACGACATTCTCGCCCAGTTCATTCAACAAAATGTACCTAACGCCTGTCTGTCAGCGCTCCGGCTGGGCACTGAAGAGGACCAAGATAGATCCAAGAGATTACAACAGAGCTAGCAAAGGCAAGAAGAAGGCAAAGAGAGCAAGCCTCCGCCTTGCTGTGCCGAGATAAAGAATGAAGACCGAGCCGTGAGGAGTATAGGTCTCCTGGAGACACTCGGCCTATCCTGACGTCCTGCCGCCAACACCCACCTGGCGGGTGTAGGTCTGCAGCCGCTCCACCAGCTCCTCGCGACTACCTGCGGGGCAAAGTACATGATCAATAAGGCAGGCCAGCCCGGCCAGGTCAGGTCCCAGCGGCCCGCCTCCGCCCCTCGCGCTCGGGTCTCCGGGGTAACCAGGCTCCGCTTCTCCGCAGGCCGGTAAAGGCCTCTCGACTTGCTGTGTTCCTCACCCTGGATCGGAGCTCCGATCTCTGCCAACTTGGCCTGAAGCTCCTGGGCAGCCCAGGCGCCATAGTGGCCTGGAGGTGGCGGCGGCGGCGGCAGCTGCAACTCCGCTTTGGGAGGCTCCGGGTGCTCGGTCGCCATCTTAGCCGCGGGAAGGCGCGCGACCAACCCGGAAGCTCGGGCCAGCCGCCGGCCCCACTTTCCGGAACTTCCGGCAGCGCCGTGCGCCACGTCCTCTCTGGTTGGGAGGCTGTGCGCCCGCTGCCGTTGCCTGGGCCACGGGATTCGCCGCTGACGCACCTTTCTCTAACGACCCCTCGGCGGCCTGGTCGCGAGGCCTCCTGGGAGTTGTAGTGCACAGGTCTCGGTCTCCGCGGGCCCAGCGCCTGGCTACTGCCAGAAGGCCGGCGGCGGGCCCGTGGGCGGAGCTGTGGAGAAGGCCGGCCCTTCCCCGAGGGAGTGTTTTCTGCGCCTCACCTGCGGGAGCGCAGGCTGTCAAGCCTTCCGGCCCGGCTCGCCGATCAGAAGCCCTGACGCTTACGCTCCCAGGGAGTCCCGAGAGACCTATTTCCCCGGTGGCCCCGCGTTGCGGGCGTCCAGCGGGAGGCTGGAGCCGATGCCTGGGATAAAACAGTGTCCGATTGTTTGCCCGCCCACCCCCGGCCCAGGCCCGGATGAATGGGCTGAAAGGGGATCCGAGCCGGGAGAGGAGCGGGACCGCCCGGGCTGAGCTCCAGCTGCCGACCTGGGGGAAGGGCGACACTAAGGCCCCCTTTTCCACTGTCCAGGCCGGCTCAAATGTCGTCTCCTCCACTAAGCTTTCTCCCGCTTTCCTTTCCTTTCTTAGAGCTCCCATAATGCATTCGAATCTCCACCGTTCGTTCTTGCCCTTTCTTCCTACCTCCAACCCAAAAGTATGAGCAGGTACTTGATCTTTTTCAGTCTCGCATCGCCTGGCGTTCAAGAGGCGACCAATAAATGATTACTAGAAAAAAGGAATAATTTTTCTGGTGACAGCATTTGTCTTTTTTAGTCTCGAAAATAAACTCAGGTCCTTTTCCCTCAGCCGCACCTGCACTGGAGGCCACCTTGCCTCCCACTCCCCACCCCAACTCCCCCTGGCCTTTAGGGATATTGGCAGAGACTGACAGGGATTCTTGCCTGCCTAGCATCCACCTCTCCTAGTCCCACACCATCAATTCAGTTTCACTCCCCACCTCTGCCACTAGCTCTGCACTCTCACTGACCAGGCTCACTCTGTGTTGAGTAAGGCAGGGGGAGACTCAAGTGGAATGGTCTCATTTCCCCTACACATACCCTTCAGATCTTTCCTCTAGCTCCATTTTGCCATCTGCCCCCAGTGGAGAAGTAGCTGGGAACAGGGGGAAAAATGGGGTACCAGGTCCAGGAAAGGTGAGGTTTGGGGGAGAAAGGGAAAAGGACTGGGTCAAAGGTTGGCTCACATCCTAGCACTGGGTGGAAAGTCTTCTTCCTCTTACCCAAAGCCTGACCCTTCCCCTTTCCATTAATGACACTGTGGTAGGCTCCTGCTGCCACTCCCAGAGGGGAAGCCAAACCCAGAAAGGACAGTAAGGAAGGCAGAACAAGGGCACCCTTAACTCCAGCTTGTCAGGCCACTCAGGCAGAAACTTTCTAGGCCAAAGGAAGACTCTTTTGCTCCCTGTAACTGGAGAGCCCAGGGCAGGTAATCTGAGGCTGAAGGCCCCAAGGCATGTGTAGGTGCTAGGGAAGCCTGTGGGGTCTCTCAGGCAGGATAAACTAAAGAAAGGCTGATAATAGAGTCTCATTTTATCACAATAGCCCTGGGAAGGAGGCAAGGTATCAAGGGCCCCTTCCCCCTGACATTGTACGCATGGAAGATTGATGGGCAGAGCAGGTGACATACCCAAGGGGCCACCAGCAGTCCTTCTGACTCAGAGTCCCTGTAACCATAACAAGGACCCTGACACAATATTACCTATTGCCTATGTAAGCCTAGAAGGGTGTATCCAGCCCCTTCCAGTCCCAGCTTTGGGTGGCTACCCAGCTCCAGGATCCTTGCTTTACCAGGCCCAGAGCAAGAGAGAAAGCAGGTGTCCAGGCCAGCCACAGAACTCAATGTGGGGCTCTCCGTGTCTGGCATGGCTTTGGGAGGTGCTGCTGCCCAGCTTCTGGGTGATGGAAACTGAGGACCAAGAAGTTCACATGGAGCCGTCGTGGTGTGTATTATCTCTGCTAGCTCAGAACAGCTTTTCATTTTAGAGCTATAAACAGCAGGGCTCTTTTTTTTTTTTTTTTTTTTTTTTTTTTTTTTTTTGGAGACAGTCTCCAGCCCAGGCTGGAGTACAGTGGTGTGATCTCAGTTTGTTGCAAACCTGTGCCTCCCAGGCTCAAGCAATTCCCCTGCCCCAACCTCCCAAGTAGCTGGGACTATAGGCACATGCGCTAGGCCCAGCTAATTTTTTGCATTTCAGTAGAGATGGGGATTTACCGTGTTGCCCAGGCTGGTCTTGAACTCCTGAACTTAGGCAATTTGCCCACTTCGGCCTCCCAAAGTGCTAGGATTACAGGCGTGAGCCACCATGCCCAGCAAGTTGCCTCTTGACTCTGGGATTTAAGAGCAAAACCAGGATTGAACTTGGATTCTCTGATGCCTGGTGCCAGGTGCCTGGGCAGGGGTCCCAGCCTCACTATAGCTCTGATGAGGAGTGGGTGGGTCTGGAGTCCTAGGAAGGAAGAGTGAGTGAGCAGCTGGGAGCCACCTCAGAGGGTGCAGGGGACAGGCTGGAAGGGAAGGGGGTGTGTGTGGGCACAGATGGGACCAGACAAGGCTGAAGCAGTGCTTCTCTGTTGGAGGGGAACAGAGGAGAGGAGGTAGGGAGCATGTGAATACCTGCAAGTATACCTGCCTCTCGCTCACCCAGAGCCCAAGTATGACCCGCGGGGCCCCGGAATACCCAGCAATGCAGGACTATCCAGACATCTTCCCGGTGTCAGTTTCCCTGTCTGAGAGAAAGGAGCTGGCCACATTAGTGTCCAACTCTGCAAGGTTGCCAGAGGAAGACAACTGCATCCGAAGATGCCACCCAGAGACTGTTCACGGCAGCCAGCGGGCAACCGGGGGACCACCCCTCTTCCCGCTTCTTTTCCCCCCCTCTCCCTTCTCCCCTACTTGCCCGAGGCCGGCCCCGCCCCTCGCCTTCCTCCGGTGTGCGACTGGGGGCGGGGGGCGGGCAGACCGGGAGGAGCGAGCTGAGCGGACGCCGCCACCTGATCCCATTCAGGCTCTGCGAGGCGAGCCACCGGCACTCAGCGCGCAGGGCCCTGGACACCCTCGGACTCCGTGCGGATTTCGAGACAAGGGGCCAAAGACAGCGGCGGCCGCCCCCTATCCAGGTGGGAGGCAGAGCCCAGGCGCGCAGTGTGAGTACTGCAGTGGCCGGCCTGGGGCTGGAGGAGTGGGAGTGGACCAGATTGGGAAGGGGGCCGAGAGAGGCGGGCGGGACAGTGTCTTGGGGGCCTATTGCCTGGAGAGCATGAGGAGGGGGGCGCTCTACCCCAGGAAAGCAGGAGAAGATGGGGTGAGCGGGCCAATCTGGCCTATCCCCTATGGTAACCAGATCCTACTGGCAGGATCCCTGGGGATGTCGGGATGAAATTGAGGGAATGGGAAGTGTGATGGGGGTGGGCACTAATGGAGACGAGGATGGAGGGAATTCGGAGGCAAGGATGACGTGGGGGTGGATGAGAGAAAGAGGAGGCTGGGGGGGGGGCAGGGACAGACCTGGTGCAGGCTGGAGGGAGAGGGGGCGAGGAAAAAGAGAGAGGTGGAAAGATTTGCTCTCCTGGGCCAGTAATTTGCGGACCCCCTCAGCCCTTTACCCCTTCCTCTTGAGGGCCCTGGGTCACTGGGCTGTGCCATCCCTCAAGTCAGGACAGGATGGAGTCTCTGGGCCATTCAGCGGTCAGGTCCAAGTGGTCCAGTCCAGGGCACCCCTTCCTCTGAGTGCATCAGTCTCAGCTCTAGAGCTCAGAGAAGACAGGAGAAAGGGCTCATTTAGGAGTGGGTGGGTACCCAGGCCCATTTTCAAAGCTCTGGTCGGCTATACTATTTCTTTGGTTCCCTGGAGAAAAGCAAGCAATTTGCAAAACTGGGCAGCAGTGTGAGGTAGATTGTTCTGACTAAAATTAGCACTGACATTCTGACTAGCCTGGGTGCCCTGACCTGCCTGGGATAGCTGGGAGACCTCTCTCTCTCCATGGAGAAGACATCAGGCAGAATGGGGAGTCATGTGAAGCATCTGAGGGCAGGAGCCAGGGCTACCGCTCTAAAGCTCGGCTCCAGCAGCACTGACACACATGCCACACCAGCCAGAAAACCAGAGGGAAACTCAGCCCTGTGGCCCCCTCCCTGAGAGGCACTGCCTTGGCCCCATCTCTGAAACAGGCATCTTGGAGTAAAGTTGCCAAGGGAAGGCAGGCCTCCTCCAATGTCCGAGCAGCACCCTCTCTCAGGACCTGGAATGTTTAGCCTGGCCAAGTGCCCACCCAGAGGAGACAGGGTTACTGCTTCCAAATACCTGAAGGTCTGTCATGGAGAAAAATGTTCTGTGTGCTCTAGGAGGGCAGCTCTACCAAGAGTGCAGAGTGGGAGGTGGAAGGAGCAGGCCAAAATGGGTGCTACCAGTGGCAGGATAATAATCCTAGCTGTCTCAGAAAGGACCTGAAGAGCTCTAAGTTGCTTGGAAATGGATCACGCTGTATTGGGAGGTGATGCAGCCTGTCATTGATAGTGGCCATACAGAAGCTGGTGCCCACCTTCAGGGGCTGGTGTCTAGGTAATTCCTGCTCTGAGGATGCCCTGTCCCCTATCCCTAAGCAGGCCTCAGACTGGGGCCTGACTAGCTCTCCAGAGCTCAGCTATGTGGGGAAGTAGGGGAAGGCCCAGGAGTAAGATGGAGGGGGATACCAGGCACCTGTCACTCTCTCTGTGAGGCCAGTTGAAGCTCTGCACCCGGGAAAGATCCCCGTAGCCAGGCTCGACTTCCTTGGCTGACCCTGAATCCTCTGAGAAACAGGGTGGTTTCTACAAGTTTAGCAAAGCTGGATACAGGCTTTCCCTTCTCATCTTGGGACACTTCTGTCTAATCCCCAAGTTCTCTAAGCAGAAAGAGTGACAGAGGAAGAAGGTATGTATTCTCAGAAGGCCCAAGGCTCTCCCTTCCTCCTGCAAGCAGCCCCAGCCAGGCCAGGCCAACCCTTCTCTGCCCCAGCAATCCTTGAAAAGACAGGGAGGACTTTAGGCTTCTTCTGCGGTGCCCTTGGTTACCCTCTGTGGCTGGACCCTTCACCCTTGGCTCCCAGCGGATTAAGTCTGTCTGCAGGCAGGTGGAGGGAGGCAGCGATGAGGCCTAGAGAAAAGGGGAGGCATAAGCAGGACATCTTTCCACCCAAACAGGTTTAAATGTAATCCAGGATTAAGGGAGCAGGGTCAAGAAGAGAGATTGGAAGCCAAGCCCAAGGCCCCCGGAGAAGGTGATGATCAAAAGGGTTTTCACATTACCTCACCCCTCCTGGGACCCAGGTGTCCTAGTTCCACACACATGCATATGCCCATAAGGTTCCAGGCTCCCCCTCCTCCATGGAGAAGAAGATGTGTGAGGGCTGCAGCTATACTTGAACCTGGAGACTGAGGCCCCCCACCCTAGCTTGGGGACAGGTATCACTGCTGAACTTTCCACCGAAACTGCCCAGGATTGGGCTGCCCTTAAGCTGAGGCATTCCTGTGGGGAAAGGAGACTTGTGCAAGACCAAACCCTCCTCCCTTCTCTCACTCCTGGGCTCACTTGGGATGGAAGCTTACCTTCTGGAGATTCTCAGGAGGGCAACATGCAGGAGCCACCTCTTACCCGACCTGCACCCCTGCCCAGGTTGCCATCCCATTGCTTTGGTCAGGTACTTTTCCCTGCAGAATCAGCTGATGGGGTCACCTGGATTTCAGGTGTCTGGGGATGGAATCCAGATAGGGCTCCAGGATTTCAAGACCTTCCTTTCCCTCATGAATTTCTCAGTCTCTGGCCCGCAGCGCAGGAGCCCAGCTAGGAGCACGCAGGACTCAGAGGCATGCAGAATTGCCAGAGTCTAGGGCAAGGTTGGGGAAATCAGTTCTCCATGGAAATAGCACATATGGTATCTCAGGACATGGACTTTGGAGCCAGAAACAGCAGGTATGAATTTCATTTCTACTGTTACCAGCTGTGTAGCCATGGACAAGTGACATTAATCTCTTAAGAGTCTCAGTTTCCTCATCTGTGCAGTGGGAATAATACCTATGTCAGTGCTGTGGTGAGGACTAAATGGGATTAAGTATGTATAGTATACCACATAGAGTAAGCCTGCAGTATTGACTCAGAGCCATATCACTCCAAGGAAGTGAAGGCCTGATTAGTGTTTCTGAGGAGCTCAGTTTCTCTGGGGAGTCAAGACCAACCCTGGGTTAAAGCAATTGGGCAGGAGTCCTGGAGGAGGGAAAACTGAGTTAAGATCCCTATGTTCTGAGCCAAGCCCTGCTGCTGAAGCCACTCCACTGGGAGACATGTACAAACGACCATAAGACAAAGACAAGTCAGCAGCAGGCAGAGAGACAGAAACAGGGCTGAGGGGTGGGAGTGGCTACAGCCTGAAGGGCTGGCAACACCCCAGACCCTGTAATTCCACCCAATACTAGGTTATCTGGAGCACTAAGGAGATAGGGTCTTGGTAACAGGAGGTAGGAATCTGATCTGCCCTGGCCTCTCTGCTCACCTCACCTCTTGGAGCTCTTCGCATCAGAGCTGCTGGGGCCCAGAGCCCATCTCCTCTGCCCACTGCAAACCCATCTGCCTTCTTCTTCTGCCAGGCTTCTTGGGAACACTGGCCCTGCTACCAGAGCCGCAGGATCCCCCATGAGTGCCTGTGAAGGGAGTCCTGGATAGCGAGGCCCTGGCTGGTCCAGGGGTTGGTACTCCACCATGCCACCCATCCTCCAGCGCCTGCAGCAGGCCACCAAGATGATGAGCCGCAGGAAAATCCTACTGCTGGTGCTAGGGTGCAGCACCGTAAGCCTTCTCATCCACCAGGGGGCGCAGCTCAGCTGGTAAGGGGGCGTGGCCTTGGCGAAGGGGCGGGGCTCCGGGGGCCCAGAACTCCCCCGTCCATTCTTCCACCTGCCGCTTTGCTCCTTCCCTCTATTCTGAAAGTGCTTTCCCTTTAGGGCCACACAGCCTTCCTGGACAGGGCCTGATCTTCAAGGAAAGGCTTGAGTGACTTGCTCAAAGTTACAGAGTCAGTTGAGATCTGAATGCAGCTCGACTCCTTCCTATTGCATGCAGCTAAGCATCTTCTCAATGGAAACAACTCACGACTTCCTTAGTGCTGGGCAAGGCCAAGTCCCCTCACTTCTCTGAGACCCACTTTTCTCATCTATAAAGTGACACATGATGTGTGTGACGCAGCCAGTCACTCTCATACAGGATACCATGTGATTCATGGGAACTCCGACCCTATTCCTGACTCACTATGTGAACCCAACAAATCCCTGCACCTCTTGGGAACTTGACATCCCCATTTTCTACAATGTCTGCCCCTGAGAATGGTGTGAATGGGCCCACCCCCCTTGCCAGATGATTTGCTGGTTTGAAGTCCCAAACACCCATGTGTTAAGAATGAAGCAACAGCAATGAAAGCTTCACGAGGGCTGGGATTATTGTTTTTGTATATTGCTGTATTTCTTGAACCTAGCATAATGCCTGGCACATAGTGGATACCCAAAACATATCTGATGAATGAATGAATGAGGCATTAGACCCCTTAAGAGAAACCTAACAAATGGGTTGCTGCAGAGCCCAGTGCCAACCATCTACAAAGTGAGGAGCCAGTTAAAGAGTGAAAATGAAAAAGAGCAAAAGGATCTAGAGATGATGTGAATTGTCTCCAGAATTTGTGTTAAGTTATTTTCTCCATTTGGCCTTCAGTTTCTACATCTACAAAGTGGGATGCCTCAAAGATCTCCAAGGGGCCTTTGTCCCTTATTAATTTCTGCATAAACAAATTACCTTAAAGCTTAGCAGCTGAAAGCATCTGTTCTTGGGAGTCAGGAAGCCAGGTGTGGCTTACTGGGAACTTCTGGACCAAGGTCTTTCATGGGTTTGCAACCAAGGTGTTTGCTGGGGATGCAGTCTCATCTGAAGGCTTGGTTGGAAGGGATCGGCTTCCAAGCTCCACATGGTTTTGACAGGCTTCAGTTCTTCAAGCGGGCTGGTAGACTGAGGGCCTCAGGTCCTTGCTGGCTTTTCCTACTTAGTGGTAGCTCCCTATAGGGCTGCCCACTATATGGCAGCATGCTTCCCCCAGCACCTCTCATCCGGGATTACAAGAAAGACACCAAGATACTGGCCACCTTCTTTCTATGATGAAATTTAAGAAGTGACATCCCATTATTTCTGCTCTCTTCTATTCTTTTTTTTTTTTTTTTTTTTTTTTTGAGACGGAGTTTCGCTCTTGGTACCCAGGCTGGAGTGCAATGGCGCGATCTCGGCTCACCGCAACCTCCGCCTCCTGGGTTCAGGCAATTCTCCTGCCTCAGCCTCCTGAGTAGCTGGGATTACAGGCACGAGCCACCATGCCCAGCTAATTTTTTGTATTTTTAGTAGAGACGGGGTTTCACCATGTTGACCAGGATGGACTCGATCTCTCGACCTCGTGATCCACCCACCTCGGCCTCCCAAAGTGCTGGGATCACAGGCTTGAGCCACCGCACCCGGCCCTCTCTTCTATTCTTTAGATGCAGTATGTCCAGCCTCACTCAGGGCAGGGGAATACTCAAGGGTGTGAACACCAGGAGGCCAGCAGGGATCATAGGGGGCATCATAGAGGCTACCCAGCACCACCCTTGACATTTCCATGAGTGCAGCCCGGGCGGGGCCCCTCTGTGGGGCATCCCACAGTCCTTGGGGAAAGGGCTGGGGTTAAGCGGCAGCCCCCTCAGACCCTCCTCTCTGCACACCCCCTGGGCCTGGCAGGTACCCCAAGCTGTTCCCTCTGAGCTGCCCTCCTCTGCGGAACTCGCCGCCGCGCCCCAAGCACATGACCGTCGCCTTCCTGAAGACGCACAAGACAGCCGGCACGACGGTGCAGAACATCCTGTTCCGCTTCGCCGAGCGCCACAACCTGACGGTGGCCCTGCCGCACCCGAGCTGCGAGCACCAGTTCTGCTATCCGCGCAACTTCTCTGCGCACTTCGTGCACCCGGCCACGCGGCCGCCGCACGTGCTGGCCAGCCACTTACGCTTCGACCGCGCGGAGCTAGAGCGCCTCATGCCTCCCGGCACCATCTACGTCACCATTCTGCGCGAGCCGGCCGCCATGTTTGAGTCGCTCTTCAGCTACTACAACCAGTACTGCCCGGCCTTCCGGCGCGTGCCCAACGCCTCGCTCGAGGCCTTCCTGCGCGCGCCCGAGGCCTACTACCGCGCCGGCGAGCACTTCGCCATGTTCGCGCACAACACGCTGGCCTACGACCTGGGCGGCGACAACGAGCGCAGCCCGCGCGATGACGCCGCCTACCTGGCGGGTCTCATCCGCCAGGTGGAGGAGGTCTTCTCGCTCGTCATGATCGCCGAGTACTTCGACGAGTCGCTGGTGCTGCTGCGGCGCCTGCTGGCCTGGGACCTGGACGACGTGCTCTACGCCAAGCTCAACGCGCGCGCCGCCAGCTCCCGCCTGGCCGCCATCCCCGCGGCGCTGGCGCGCGCGGCGCGCGCCTGGAACGCCCTGGACGCTGGCCTCTACGACCACTTCAACGCCACCTTTTGGCGCCGCGTAGCGCGCGCTGGCCGCGCGTGCGTGGAGCGCGAGGCGCGCGAGCTGCGCGAGGCCCGCCAGCGCCTGCTGCGGCGCTGCTTCGGCGACGAGCCTGTGCTGCGGCCAGCCGCGCAGATCCGCACCAAGCAGCTGCAGCCGTGGCAGCCCAGCCGCAAGGTGGACATCATGGGCTACGACCTGCCCGGCGGCGGCGCCGGCCCGGCCACCGAGGCCTGCCTCAAGCTGGCCATGCCCGAGGTCCAGTACTCGAACTACCTGCTACGCAAGCAGAAGCGTCGGGGCGGTGCGCGGGCCCGGCCCGAGCCTGTCCTGGACAATCCCCCGCCGAGGCCCATTCGAGTGCTGCCTCGCGTCCCTCAGGGTCCCTGAGCTCCGCAGGCCTCCAGGAGTCTGGGTCCTGCCCTGCCCTCCCAGGAGTCCAGCCAGGGGCTGCCTCCATGTCCCGCCCCGTGAGAGCCCTTGCTTTTCGAGGGGCTTGAGCCCCTCTCTGAACTTTGGGATGCAGCTCCCTGAGCCTCGCTCCCTATCGTGGGCTGAACCCCGCCTTCGGGCATGGCACTGATAGGCTGGATCTAGCGCTGGGCCACCCTGTCTTTCCCAACTGGTTGGTGATTTTGACAAGAGGCCTGATGGCTGTCCAGCACTACATACCCTGCCTTTTTCTGGGGGCTGAGCCCCCTCCCCACCTGTCTTTTCCTATTGGATAGGCCCAGGCCCCGCGGAGAGGAGCTGAGCCCTGGGGAAAGGCTGCTCTTGCTCTTCCTCCCAGGGCTGGGGGCTCCCTGTACTTTGCTGTCTTCCAGGTTCTACCCTCCCTACAGACCTAAGCTGCTCCCAGTCTCCCGGAACCAAAAGTTCTTGGGTTGGGATTTTTGTTTGATTGGTTTTTCTTTTTTTTTTTTTTTTAAATAAAACATCTTTAAAATGTGCGGGTTATATGTCAGTCATAGAAGCCGGATTCCCCACATTTGAGGATGAAGTGGATGCCCAGGAGGAGCTGTGGCTGGAGCCATGAGGATGGGGGTGTGGACTCGAGGTCCCCCGCCACCCGACATAGACCCACAACCCTCTTCAGTTGCTTGACTGACTGGGCCCCCAACACAGACTGGCCACCTCAGCCCCATTCACTTTCCGAGTCGTTCTTTCTCATAAAATTCTGCAACATTTACTGAGCATCATCTCTGTAACTCCGGGATACCGGTGAACCAGGCAGATAGGGCCTTATTTTCTGGCGCTCATGGGGAAACATTGTAACAGGAGCAAGGCAGGAAGGCAGGTAAGCAAAGAGGAAGGACTGGAGGGGTTTGAGCAAAACAACCCTTCCTTGGGTGGAAGGAGGATCATTTTCAGGTAAGGAGCTGCCTAACTCAGAATTTTACCTCCCGCTGTGAGTCACTGCTTCTAATGGCCTGCTTTCCTCACAAGAAGACAACTCGGACTCAGATGAAGACCAATCCCTTTCTCCAATTTGCCTTAACACAGCAAGACAGCCAGCACTTCCAGATGAAATCTCCGTTGAGACTATCGCCATTACTGGAGGTAACGAAAAAAGAAGAAAAAAAAAGACTAGCAGAGAATCAGGACTTTTCCTGTTCCTTTCTTCAGAGCTAGATCAACGTATCTGTAACAGTAATAAAAACAATAGCTGTTATGGTCTACGATGTGCCAGCCACCATTAAAGGGCTTGACTTTGGAGATAGGTGCTGTTTGCCAGGTGAGGGAACTGAAACTTGGGGGACATTAAGTCAGGGTCACAGCCAGAAACTAACCACTAGGATCCGAACCAAGATAGTGTGGCTTCAGAGTCTGTGCTCTTAAGTGCTGTCTATAGTGCCATTCAAATAAAAAAGATCACATGCCACAGGCTAGGCTGACTCCCGGCACCTTCCCCCAAAAGAATGTAAAGTGAAGAACCAAGACACTGCCATCAGCATCTCTTTATCCTATTTTTCATGGAGACAACGGTTGACCTGTTTGGACAATGGACATTGCAGTGATTGGTTGGCAGTTTACATGACGCACCCTCAGCTTGAAAGGCGATTGTCTGGCACCCCACTTTTTGCCAGCAGAGCTCTGAAAAAGGCAATAATTAGAATCATGCAAAGGCATAATTAAGTTTCTAAAATTAAGGAGCAGTAAAGAATTGTACTAGACTCAAAGTGATCTATCCAAAAACAGGTGTCCTTTGGCCCCCAGGCAAGAAGGTGCTTGCCACTGTCTACATCTGCACCCCCAGCCCTATTCTCTGGTCATACCTCTCCCAGAAACATCCTTCACCTTGCCCTCAGTTAGCCTGGAAAATTCAGACATGCCTTTAAGTCTGTTTTTTTTTTGTTTGTTTTTTTTTTTTTTTTTTTTTTTTTGTGAGACAGGGTCCAGGGTCTTACCCTGTCACCCAGTCTGAAGTGCAGTGCTGTGATCTCGGCTCACTGCAGCGTCCACCTCCCAGGTTCAAGCGATTCTCCTGCCTCAGCCTCCTGAGTAGCTAGGATTACAGGCACCCACTACCACACCCAGCTAATTTTTGTATTTTTAGTAGAGAGGGTTTTACCATGTTGGCCTGGCTGGTCTCAAACTCCTGACCTCAGGTGATCCCCCTGCCTCGGCCTCCCAAAGTGCTGGGCTTACCAGCATGAGCCACCGCGCCTGGCCAAGTCTACTTTGATAGGTGTCCTAGTTCATTTTGTGTCGCCATAAAGGAACGACTGAGGCTGGTAAAGAAAAAGGTTTATTTGACTCAATCCTGATTACTGGAAAGTTCAGTATTGGTATATGTATCTGGCCAGAGTCTCATGCTACTTCCGCTCAGGACCCCAAATATGCAGAGACCACAAGGTGAGAGAGGAAGCGAGGGGGTCAGAGAAGGTGCCAGGCTGTTTTTAACAATCAGCTTTTGGAACTAAGAGTGAGAAAACTCACTTATCTCCCAGGGAGGGCATAATCTTTTCATGAGGAATCCATGCCCATGACCCAAACACCTGCCACTGGGCCCAATGCCAACATTGGGGATCAAATGTCAACATGAGGTTTAAGACAACCAAACCACTGCGATAGGCCTCTCCTGGCCTCCCTGACCCTCAGGCAGGTGGACCTTCCTTTATAAACCTTGCCCTATTTCCAGCATAGAGCACAACTCTGGCCTCAGAAAAATCCAGAATCAGGGGCAAATGGAATCATCAGGCACTAGGAGAGGGCTCTCTGTTTAACTCAGGAACAAGGACAAATCCTAAAGCTGAGCAGGGGTTCTGGAACTCTTTGGCAGAAACAGCTACAGCTTCAGCCACAATCCAGGGGAACAGCCCTCAGCCCCTTAAACCCCAGCCCCTAGGACTCCTGCAAAGAGGCTCCTTCCACCAACAAACACTTGGTTCTGCCCACTCTATGTCTACTCTGAATGTTCCCAGAGCTTTGGCAGTGAGTTAAACGTGGTCCCTGCCTTAAGGAGCTCATTTTAAGGTCTAGTGAAGATGTGGAGGCAGCAAACCTGGCCAAACATGACTCAAGTTCCAGACCAGTGTGATCTTGCCTAGTGGTTAACCACTGGGGCACTGGAGTTGAAACCCGGGCTTTGCCATATACCAGTTACATACTTTGAGCTTAGCCTTTGAGTCTCGCTTTCCTCAACTGTGAAATAAATAGTTTCCTGCATGGGCTTTGTGAACAGTATCTGAGATAATGCCCCTGGCACACTGCCTGGCACACAGACAGGGACCTCTTGGAGTTCCTCCTCCATGGCTTCTGTACCTAAGGTTTTGGGAAGCCCTCTGCCTTCCAGCTTCAAACCAGTATTCCTTCTATCAAAGGTTATGATGTGATTGATTGCTCAAGCCAATCTGGGGGAATATGGCCACATTTGCCATATCCATTCTGCAGCAGATTGAATTGAATCTTAAGGCCACCCAGACCATGGTCCTGGCACCCACTTGAGAATTGGTTCAGTAGATGTAGAAGGTGGCCATGGCATAAGGAGATTACCTGTGTGCCTCCTGTCACATTTGCACTGGGGCCACCCACGTGCATGCTGAAGTGCAGAAGCTGGAAGTGGAAGCTCCCCATATCATCGTGGTACTCCTGGCCACATACTTGATGTGTTTCGCTGGAGATATCTGTCTCTCAAATACAGCAAGAAGTTTGAACTGGATGAAGCTGATAAAATGTTAAGCCGTAGATTCAAGAACCAGATCTATGACATACACCAAAAGCTCAGCCGGGCACAGTGGCTCACATCCCAACACTTTGGGAGGCAAAGGACGGAGAATTGCTTGAGCCCGGAAGTTGGAGACCAGCCTGGGCAGCAGAGTGAGACCACAGCCATTACAAAAAGATACACGAATTAGCTGGTCATAGTGGCATGCACCTGTAGTCTCAGCTACTTGGGAAGCTGAGGCATGAGGATCACTTGAACCCAGGAGTTGGTGGCTGCAGTGAGCTCTGATCATGCCACTGCATTCCAGTCTGTGTGACAGACTGAGATCCTATCTCTTAAAATAATAATAATAGGCTGGGCATGGTGGCTCATGCCTGTAATTCCAGCACTTTGGGAGCCAAGGCAGGTGGATCACTTGGGGTCAGGAGTTTGACAACAGCCTGGCCAACATGGTGAAACCCCGTCTCTACTGAAAATACAAAAATTAGCCAGGAGTGGTGGCAGGCACCTGTAATTCCAGCCACTCTGGGGGCTGAGGTGGCAGAATTGCTTGAACCTGGGAGGCAGAGGTGGCAGTGAACTGAGATTGCACCATTGCACTTCAGCCTGGGAGACAGAGCAAGACTCCATCTCTAAATAAATAAATAAAATTTTAAAAACATAACAATAATAAATAAAGCTCAACAGCAACACTCAGATGCTTTTGCTGTCAGCTATAGTGCCTTCTGATGTGCTTGAGGTGACCAAGAAATTCATGAAGGACCCTGCCAGAATCCTTGTCAAGAAGAAAAAGTCCACATGACTGATTTTGGGTGTTGTTAGGTGTGCCTATAGTCTCAGCTACTCAAGAGGCTAGGGCAAGAGAGTGACTTGAAGCCAGGAGGTAGAGGCTGCAGAGAGTCGAGATTGTGCCACTGCACCCCAGCCTGGGCGACAGAGCAAGACTCCATCCCACCCCTCTGTGGGGGGAAAAAAAAAAGCTGCAAATGCCACTGGGAGAAGGCACGTTAATTAGAACAACAATGTTGAATTCTACATCAGCATAGAACAAGAGGAGTGGAAGCTGCGCCCACTGTGTGACTTGTATGGAACCCTGATCATCATCCAGGCTGTCATCTTCACCAATACCCAAAGGAAGGTTGATTGGTTCCCTGAGAAGATGCATGCCAGAGACCACTGTTTCTGCCATGCATGGAGATATGAACCAAAAGGAACAAGTTATGATCATGAGAAGATCCATTCTGGCTCTAGCAGAGCATGGATGTGCCAGGTTTCTTTAATCATCAGCTGTGACCTTCCCACCAACAGGAAAAATGATATTCATAGAATCAGTCATGTGGATGTTTTGGCCATAAGGGTGTAGCTCTTAACACGGTGATAGCAGAAGACAGGGGGACTCTTCTAGACACGAAGACCTTGTACATCACCTCCACTGAGGAGCTGGCTCAAGGCTGCTGACCTCATCTGAGGGGGGCTGATCTGCCCCTCTCAGGGGTTCAATCTGGGGACTGAGGAGCAGCAGGAGGAGGGAGGGAAGGGAGCTAAGGGATAGACATCTTGTCATTTTTTTCTTTTTTCTTTTGTTGAGACGTAGTCTCACTCTGTCAACCAGGCTGCAGTGTGGAGGTCACTGCCTTCTGAGGGGAGGTGCCACACACTTTCAAACAACCAGATCACTGTGAACTCAGAGCAAGAACTCGCTGATCACCAAGGGGATGGAACTCAGAGCCAGAACTCACTGATCACCAAGCCACTCATGAGGGCCCCACCCCATGATCCAAA